TGTCTGCTGAATCTCAAAGAACTGATGCTGAGACAGGGTTTCCCAGACTAGTCCTTCTTTATGATTAACGATGTTATTATAAATAGTGCTTCACTAATAGTTCACCTGAACCAGACATATAATTTTCTTTTCACAGATATTATAGATGGAGACTGAAATAGAGATGAATTGTATCTGCTGGTTTCCAGGCTTCTGTTCCAGAGACTAGTTGTATGGAGAAGTTAATTTGTTAAAGATTTGAAACTTTATATTAAAAGAGGAATTTTGGGTAACCCTATACAATCCTTGTGAGCATCAAATGCCTAAAACTATTTGTCCCAGTTTGTTTGGCTTCCTCCCTAAAAATAGAAATATTTTGTTCAAGCTCTTCAGCAAGTCTTAGCGTCATTTAGTACAGGGCTTTTCAACTGGCAGGTGGTACGCTTACGATGGGTTGAAAAACACTGTAAACAAAAGTGTAAAAGTGTAGTGTGGGGATGAGCTGAAGCAGCGGCAACACAGCACAGGTCTGTGGGAGAGCCAGCTGGAACCATGGTGTTGCCAGGGCTCTGCTGAGCGCCCAGGATCCGCATCAGGCTCCAGCTAACTGGCACTTCCGGAAGCTGCGCACAGACTGGCAAAAGAAGTCAGTTGCAGCTACACCGAAGACAAAAGGAGGAGGAGGGGATAGACATGCCCATGGGGTGTTTACATTTGGCTCGGGGCCACCCTGGAGACAGCAAGGGGCCGGCCCACCCCAGCTTGCAATCAAAGGAAAACCCTGAATCCAGCGGGTCAGAAGGCAGTCCAGCCACCGTGCCCCTCCAGTTCCTTCTCCTTGCCTCCTGGGCACAGATGCAGTCGCCACTCCTTGCCATAGCTGGGGCAGGACTTGCAAGTACCTCCGTCCTTCAAAGCAGCACTCCCCCCCCCATGCCAGAAGCCCCAACTAAAGGCCAAGTGCTTCAGCCTCACCTTGCCAAGGAAGGAGGCAGTGGCTGAGACTATGTCCGATTTGCAGCTTGTCAGCGGCGCTCAAAGGCTGCCCAACTTTACTCTGGAATTCTGGAGTTGGAAAGTGCCGCATTTGCAGGCCTGGCAGTATCTGCGGGGGGGGGGGAAGCAGGGGGCTTTCAAGCAGGTGCTGTCAGGCCTGCAAAAGCGGCGCTGCCCCTCTGCTTTCCAACTCTGGAATTCCAGAGTAAAGTTGGGCAGGCTTTAAGTGCCACTGACAAGCTGCAGATCTGCTGTAGTATCAGCCGCTGCCCCCTTCCTTGGCAGGGCGAGGCTGGAGCGCTCGGCCTTTAGTTGGGGCTGCTGGCATGGCGGTGGGAGGGAGCACCGGGAGAGCGCCATTTTGCAGGACAGAAGTACTTGCAAGTCCCGCCCCAGCTATGGCAAGGAGCGGCGACTGCGTCTGTGCCCAGGGGGTGAGAAGGTACTGGAGGGGCAGGGTGGCTGGGCTGCCTTCTGGCCCGCTGGATTCAGAGTTTTTCTTTGATTGGGGGTGTATGGCCTGACCCTGGCCAAAATGCAAATCCCTCTCTAAGCAGGGATGTGGCCATGCAGTTCTGAAATCGGTGGGCTGCTGCTGGGGAGGAGAATCAAAATAGGGCAAAACAAGCATAGTCCACCATAGTTTATTGATTGCAAAGTTTTCCTCAGGTTTTCCTATCCCTTCCTGGGCTATTAAAATCACGTTAGCAAGGTCTGTACTGAACACTTGGCTGCAAACTACTCAATCAGATTTTAGCCTAATCCCTTGTGCAATCACAGGCCACATTCTGGAGGTAAGAGGATGTAGTAACAGGAGAGAGCTGCAAAATTGATTTGTTATTTATTCTTCTCTTTAGCAGCAATAACTACGTTCTTTGACCACTTTGCTAGCAACCTGCAGGCTGTGAACTTTCCTTTCCCTCTTGGGAAAAGAATTTAGGAGTGCTAGATTTATTTTTCCTGCTAATTACAGTATACCTTGTGGGTTTTTTAAGGAGCTTATGAGAAAAAGATGTGTCTGAAAATTAAAGGATGTATGGATTGAGTTGTGAGACAGGGAAGGGAAGTACATGGACTTATGCACTTCCAGTTGCTATCAGGTGTGCCATTAATATCCTGACTGGACACCTGCATGCTCTCAGGGCCCAAAGATTATCTTCATTCTTCATAGGGCTGTATTGTGGATTAACTAAATTTTTCTGGGTTCTGATTTTAAGGTGAGTATCCTGAGCTATGGAGGCCTTTGATTTTCTTCTTAAATACATAATAAAATAATGAGAACTAAAGGCTCAAAGGGAAGGCAGATTAGAAAGAACAAGACCTTTGGGGTCTTCAATTCCCTTCCTGTTAAGAGTTCCTTAATATGGTTTGCTCTTCCTTCCTAACATCAATAAAGGTGGTTTTTCCAGAAAATATGTGAAGAGCTGTAATTAGTGATTTAACTATGTTTTCTTTTTGGTTGTGTTTTAATTTATATATAATGTATGTTTAATTGAGGAGGGCTTGGAGAGATAGGCCAGTATGGAAGCTGCATCTTGCCCTCCAGATCTCTGTCTCCCCTGCAGATCTCTGGAGAGGAGGAGGGGGTGGCAGGGGAGCTGTGTGAGGGAAGGCTGCCCCAACAAGCCAGCATCCTTACCATGCACAATTGGAAATGGGAATTCCCTTTCAAGAAGGGTCAGCCTCTCTTGTGTAGGACCCAGGAGCGCGGCTCCCCTGCCGCGGCCTCTTGCTCTCCAGAGGTCTGTCAAGACAAAAGTTAGACTTGGAGGAAACTGCTTCCTGCAAACATCCTCCACCTCCTGCTTTGCTGGGAGGGGGCACCAGACAGGGAAACACCAACAGTGTCTGAGATTGGGAAAAGAATGTCTCTTTAGTGTGCTACACACACACACACACACACACACACACACACACACACACACACACACACACACATTTCAAGCTTGGAGACTTGTATTCACATCTGAACTAGCAAATTGCCAATCATGCCTGGGCTTGGGAAATAGGCCCTCTCTTTCCTCTGTGGATAAAAGTTCCCATACCTGGAATGCGATGTGTGTGTGTGTGTGTGTGTGTGTGTGTGTGTGTGTGTGTGTGTGTGTGCGTGCACATGCGCTTAGCTGCTAGCAATTTGGGGAGATGAGTTTGTGAGGCACCAAGCTGTCCTCACATCGAGTTAGCCAGTGTGACTTGTTCCATTCTGACCCAGCTGTCTTGAGTCAGCTGTGTCCAGTGAGTGGCGTAGAGCAGGCCACACCCACCTGCTAGGCGACTGGTGGAATATTGCCATATCCTAAAAGTGGTACAATCTCTAAAAATGTTGAAAAGCCCCGATTTAGTACACTGCTGTTTATTTCTTGGCTAACAGTCTGATAGGACGGGATTAGTTCTTCTGGCATCAGAACTTCATGACAATAAGATCAGTGTTTATAATTCAAGACTCACCTTCCTCATCTCTTCTTTGAGCAAAATTTTCATTTTCTAAAAAGTTTGCCTTCTTTCATCTAATAATTTTGTCACCATTCCCCATGCATCTACCCTCTTGGGTTTCCTGATACCGGGCAAATTCTGCCCTGACCTGATCTGCAATATACAATATTTGGGGACAGCTGTCAAAAGACTGAGGGAACAATAGCCACTCACTTGGCCGCTAAGGACATTTCCAAGATTTACTTATTTCCACTTGGTGATATAGCATGTCTTTTTTTTTTTACAATCTTTTACACCAGTGGTTCTCAACCTTTTTAATGCCGCGACCCCAACCGGTCGTAAGTTGAGGACTACCCAACTGGTCATAAGTCGAGGACTTTCCCTGCCCGGGAGCACCGCGCATGCGTGGTGCCGCCCCCTGCGCCGGCTGAGGCGTAGCTGGCAAGGGGCAGCGACAGCGCAGGGCGACCACCGGCTGGGCCACCAGCTGGCCCAGCCCAAGGGAGGTAAGGCACCCGCCGGGCCCCATGCGTGCCAGCAACCCTCCCTGCACCCGCCGGCCTCCCACCTCTGGCCCTCTTTTACTTACATTTTTAGTAGTTGCTCAGCAGAGAGGGGTGGAAGCTTCCAGACAGCTCGCCTTCGCTGCAGACAACTTGCAACACCGTTTGCAGAATGGGGCTTTTGGCGGGCTCAGCAGGGCAGAGACAGCCTGGACAATTCCTATTGACTTTTGAAAGCCAATAGAGTTAGACTCTATTCAAGAGAGTCTATTCTATTGGCTTTCAAAAGCCAATAGAATAAAAGGGAGTAGCACAGCTAAGGAAAAGGGGGAAAAAATGGCGGACTGCGTTGTTTGGCGACCCCCGTGAAATGGTCGTTCGACCCCAAATGGGGTCACGACCCACAGGTTGAGAACCACTGTTTTACACTAACTACAAACTGATGTTTCATTTTTTTTACTCTCAGCTGCGATACTATTTTTTTCTCTTCAGCTGAGATTTTTTTTAATTTTCATCTTTTATTCATCTGTCATTTTTTAATACATCTGTGGATTGCAAACTATATCTAGATGGCAATCTCACTTTCATCGACGTCCTACTTCAACATTAGCCACAGGAGGGATCAAAAGGAGAACTAAGAACTCCAAGAACTAAGAGAAACTTCCTGACAGAACAATTAACCAGTGGGATGGCTTGCCTTCACAAGTTGTGGGTGCTCCACCACTAGAGGTTTTTAAGAACAGATTGGGCAGCCATTTTTCCAGAATGGTATAGGGCAGGGGTAGGCAACCTTGGCTCTTTTATGACTCGTGGATTTCAACTCCCAGAATTCCTGAGTCGGCTGGCTCAGGAATTCTGGGAGTTGAAATCCACGAGTCATAAAAGAGCCAAGGTTGCCTATCCCTGGATAGGGCCTTGGGTAGGAGGTTGGAGTAGAAGACCTCCAAGGTCCCTTCCAATTCTGTTATTCAAGCCTAATCATTCCCCGATCGCTCTCTCTCTTTCTCTACAAAACCTCTCTCTCTCTCTCGGAAAAAACGACAGCGGCTTCAACCGCTGCTATTGAGCATGCGCTGCTAAACGGAGCATGCTCACTTTGTCCCAGGAACTGAGGTCGAAGAAGGAACATCGGTGGTTGCGGAAAGAGAGATGGAAGGTGGGAAAAGTCGCTGCAACTGGAGGGGGCTACCCTTTACCTTTACACTGGGCTTCATCCTGGCGTTAGCTCCGCCGATCGCCCACAGCCGGAGTCTCCGCTTCGTGACTTTGGTGAGCAGCCAACAAACCGGGCGGGAGGGGGCAAAGTGTGGAGGTGCCCGCGGGCAATCGTTGGGTTCAGGTGACACGTCCCAAGGGTTTTTAAGGAAAAAGGGAAGGGAGACGAATCTGTGGGCTGCCAAGAAGTTAACCGTGGATCCATTTTAAAAGCCTGCCGCTTTGTAATCTGGCAGAAAAACGCCAACGCCGCTGCTGCCTTGACCAGCCGCTTTTGTGGCATCGGGACCCTGCATTGGGTTGCGTCCTGCCTTTTCCTTGCAGGTTGCTGGTCTGAGTGGAGGTGAACTCTTCGCGTATTGTTGCCCTCCAAACGTTGCCATGCTCCGCATTTTGCTTGTTGCGGGAACGTTGGAAGGGAAGAATCCAGGGATGATTGAAAGGGCTTAACCGCGGATTCGCGGCGGGAGAGGCTAGTCGCCCGGTACGGCTATCCCGGCCAGTAACAGCAAATTTTCCCCCACCCCGCGCGCATTTGAAGCTAAATAACATTTTCCCCAAACCTAAATTAGAACTGACCCAAGCATGGGAATGGGCTACGCAGAATACATATATTTCTGATTTCCTCCAGTTGTATCGGCATGGAGATCGCTCTCCGGTGAAGACATATCCCCGAGATCCCTATCAGGAAAGCGCCTGGCCCCAGGGATTTGGACAGCTGTCTCAGGTGGGACTCCCAAAATAAATTTGCAGTGGGACTTTAAAAGGCAAAGGGAACTACTTTTTTTGAAACGAGGAATGAAGAGCCAATTGCTCTGTCAACAAGTGTCAGGTAGGCACTTGTAGCAACAGTTTGACATTTCCTATTTTGTTGTTTTTTTCCCCTCTCCCTTCTGGAGTGCTTTTTTATACAGCTTTCCTACTTTCTTTGCTATCCCAAGAAGCAGTAGTATTACTCAAAATCTAAGGAGCTTATCAGTTGTTAGAATTAACTAATACAGTGGTTCTTAACCTTTTTGAACAAATCGCCCCCTTGAGCCAATGAGGAAGTTGTCATCGCCCCCCTCCCCCAACATAATCTCTCAATCACAACATAGGAAATAATTCTTCAATTTATGCAAACCCTTTTTTTGTTTTCTTTAAAATTGTCATCAAGACATATCGATGCAAATGGTTTATTTCCAGTCTTTTTCCCATATCTCAACTGTGTGAAAAAATTTGATGCCACCTGGCACTTTATTCCCAAACTTCGTGATACATGTATTTCATTATTATCTTTTTTATTCAAAACACTTAAATGTAATGACCACTGAAAACAAAATTCAATTGCAAGAAAGTGAAATGCCCAAAAAGAAAAACAGTAACATTTAATGATTGAATTACAAGTGAAATTTAAGACACAAAAAGAAATATAAAAAGGGCATAAGAACAAACCTCAATGCAGGAACTAAGAATTTCAAGACGAAAACTCTGAAACTAAATTAAGATTTGAGTTAAGTATATATAGTCACGCACACTGTAAAAAGGATTAAAAAGACACAAAGAAAATATAATATCAAACTGGAGTGCACACTAAAAAAGTACAATACAAAGAGACACACAAAATGTTTTACAGAGCACAACAAAAATTCGAAAATGAAGTGAAAACTCAAACTGTGACGTCAACATTACAGCTGACATCATAGGGGACAGCCACTCAGCATGCGATGTTTCAAAAGAAGTGCTCCCCCTCCATCACTGCCCATTCTGGCCAATGGCATGGCACTGTATGGGTAGAGGCTGTGCGCAACGCACATGAAGATAAGCGATGCGTATTCACATATGTACGGCGTTCTGTACTGAAGCTAGCTGGAGGAACATTTGAAAACACAATTCAATCCACTAATAGCAGCGATCTGATGTTTTTGTACGACAGATATACAGCGATTCACTGTACGAAAAAGTCTCAAAAGTGTCCCCAAAACTTCTCGCTCCATCACCCCCATATCGCCCCCTTTTCGTTCCTTTGCCCCACGTCGCCCCTTTTTGTTCCATCGCCCCCCTGAAAAATGAAATCGCCCCCTGGGGGGCAATATCGCCCAGATTAAGAACCACTGAACTAATACGTTTATTATATTGTAAGAACCTAAAATTTTAAAAAAGGAAAGAGGACAGAAAACAGATCTTTGAGGGGTTGTTCTCTCCATTTTAGTAAGTTGTTTTGTTCACATTTCCTCCACTGAAAACATCTGAGCTGTAAAGCATTCTTTTTATTTACTCTGTGCTGTTTTGTAAAATAGCAGTTAAGGCCTGCTTAACTGTTAATTTGTCCCCATTGATATGAATAGGAAGGGATGCAGCAACAGTGGGACCTGGGCCGAGCTCTTCGTAGGCGTTACTATGGGTTCCTGAATGCTTCATACAATAGGCAAGAGGTTGGTGCATTCCGTATGATTAGCAGTAACAGTACACCTTATTCTTCTTGCTCCTTTCATGCATTTTGCATAATATTGCTTTACCCTGAAAGGGAAGAGGTATGTATAGTAATTTTATTTCCTAGTTTAATCTGTTGCATAATGATACGTTATATTGGAGAAAGACATTGAATGATGTCCCACAAGGAAGAGGGCTAAGTCAGTATTCATATAAATGTCTCAGAGAAAGAGATGGAGGTAAAACTTATTGGTTTACAGGTGATACAATATTGGATAGGATAGTTAATACTCTACAACTTGGCAACATTAAGACTTTAACTCCCAGAATTGTGGACTTTAACTCACAGAATTCCCCAGCCAGTATGAAATCCACATATCTTAAAGTTGCCAAGATTGGAAACCCTTACCGTAGAGGACAAAAATAAAATTCAGAATAATCTGAGCAATCTAAAGAAATGAGCTGAAAAGACAAGTATATAGTTCTTTACTTATGAAACAGAAATGAAACAATCACATTTAGTGTGGAAGATATCTAGCTTTGTGAAAAAAAAGTCTGGAAAAGTAGATGATTAGAAACTGAGTTTAATCTAGCAGTGGGGATATGGGTGCAAAAATTGGAAACCCAATATAGGTTTCATCAATATGATATAATGTCCAATTATACGACCCAATCACTCCACATTATTCTGTGATCCTACCTTGAATCCTGTTTCAGGCATCACTTTATAAAGAAATTAATGAAATCAGAACAGGTTCAGTGAAGACCAATAATGATTAGAATTAGAAACCAAGTCCAGGGAAGAAAGATTAAAATGGGTATTTGCCTTAAGAAAAGATGGCTGAAAGGAGATACAGCATTCTTTAGATAACTGAAGGAATGTCAGACAGAAGGTGGTTAAGATGTGTTCTCTGTCATCCTAATATGCAAGACACAGAGTAACTGAATTTTTAGGAAAGCAGGTTCTGATTGAATGTTTAAAAACACTTTTTAACAATGACAATGCATCAATTACTCAGAGATAGCTACCTTTCATTAGTTGTGTTAGGCAGATCACAGATGGTTGTCTGTTGGAATGCTTTAATTAAGATTCTTGCACTGAGCAGGGGATTGCATTCAAAGGACTCAGTGTCCCTTTCTAATTCCACAACCATTACCCAATTATTTATTCAGTATTGTTTATTCAGTATAGTTCAGAAATATTTAATTTAGATTGCTTGGACCATCAAAGAGTAATTCCCTTTTCAAAGAACTGTTTTGACACATATATCCATTCACCCGACATCTATTTACTTATGGCACAATGTGTTCTGGTCAAGAACAATGTTGTTTTTGTAAGATTAATTCACAAATATGTGGACATGCCTGAAGAAAAAGCCAATTCCTATTTCTATGGACAGCTCATTTCCCATAAGTTTACAACTCAGGGAAATCCATAGACTATAGAAGTGGAGAACTTAATTAAGTGACCATCCGTGTTTCTGAAAGACAGCTGGGGGAGTATTTTTTTTTAGCCATTACATGTGTATCAAAGTGTCTTGATTGGTCTGTGAAATTGGAAGCTGATCCAGATCAAAACCACAATTGCTCCTAAAAGTCTTTTTCCTGAGATGCATAGCTTGGACTCCTCAATTAAGTTTGTTGGCATTATTCTATCTTTATTATTTTCTGCTTGCACTCTTTAACAGCCTTATAAATTTTTTGCTTTCCACAATCACTAGAAGACGTAGAAAACCAGATCATCACCATTTAACAGCCCTGAAAGAAATTTCTTGTTTCCTTCTTTTCTTCTCCGCAATAATCCTTTCAGATGCTTAACCATCTGAAGCAGCATTACTTGAAAGAAATGGGAAGCTTCATAGCTTTTTCCTCTCCCAATCTTGTTGCTCTGGATCAGTGTTTCTCAACCTTGACAATTTTAAGGCATGTGGACTTCAACTCCCAGAATTCCACAGCCAGCAATGCTGGCTGTGGAATTCTGGGAGTTGAAGTCCACATGCCTTAAAATTGTCAAGGTTGAGAAACACTGCTCTAGATTATAGCGAATTCTTATGCAAGGTCGCTGGGAAAAGGTATTCACATCCATAACAGCACTTTTGAGTGCACGATGAATAACGGAGGGATAGATTGAACATTTGTGCTGCTGCACTTTGAACCACAGCTCTTGGATCGAAATAGTTGTCAGCTCAAGATTTGTGGTCTTGATTAAAATAGACCTCCTACGCTTGTTCTTAGATAGCCTGAGTACAGTAAAAACGGTGACACTGAAGCAGTGGTGGCGAACCTATGGCACGGGTGCCAGAGGCGGCACTCAGAGCCCTCTCTGTGGGCACACATGCCGTTGCCCCAGCCTTGCCTCCCCCTGCAACCCCCTCCTCACCAGCAGACCTTCTGGAGGAGAGTCGTCTTCGAGCGTGGCCCACATGGAGCAGCTCAGCCAAGGACATGGCAGCCAGGCAGCGTAGACAAGACTCTGCCCTCACGCCCCATCATGCAGTTGATGCTGTAGGGCATGGGCAGAGGATGTGGCCACCATAGCACTGCTGGGCTGCCTGGGCGATCTGCGGCAGGCCCTGGAGGCGGGGAGTGGTCCTGTGGGCAGGCGGGGTGGGGGATGGGTGGGCAGAGCGGGGGCGGAGCAGGGAAATGGAGTGGGGCCAGTTTTTGGGCACTCGGTCTCTAAAAGGTTCGCCATCACTTCACTAAGATAATTCACTTCCATTTGCTTTTTTTCTCTGGCAGATCTTTGTTCGCAGTACAGATTTTGATCGGACCTTGATGAGTGCCGAGGCAAATCTGGCAGGCCTGTATCCTCCACATGCGCAGCAAGTGTTTAATCCCAATATTTCTTGGCAGCCTATCCCTGTACACACTGTACCTGATGACATGGAGAAGGTGGGCCACTTTAACATGTCTGTTTCTCTTCTGCCTTTTTGCTTTAATTCCCAGCTATTATAGGAGAGCTGCGAAGTGCAGTGGAATCTGATGTTCACAAAAGCTTATGCCTTATTAATAAAACCTTGTCAGTCTTAAAAGGGGCTACGAAACTCTTTCTGATTTTTAACTGCCAGCGATTTCTTAGCCAAAACAAATTGCTTAAGATATGTAGCTCCTAGAGAAGCAGATTGTCATGAAATTAGTGATTATAAAGAGGCATTTGTACTCAAATTACCAGTTTTAATCTAATATCAATGTTGCCTCTTTCCAGCTCTTGCGGTTTCCATTATCTCCCTGTCCCCGTTATGCACAGCTGCAAAATGAGACCAGGCAGACACCAGAGTATATAAATATGACCCTCCAGAATATGGTATATTGCTTTCTATGTATTTTTGTACATCATATGATATTTTGTTTTCTTTATATAATTATTGGGATCATGGAAAGATAGAATATATATATATATTTTTACTTCTACAGCAATTCTTGAAAATGGTAGCAAACATGACAGGAATTCAGGATGTTTCCCTTGAATCTGTCTGGAGTGTGCACGATGCACTCTTCTGTGAGGTACGTTTTGTGTTATAAGTTAATCATTTGCTTTCAGTGCTTTTTAAAATTATTGCCTTGGTAGTGTTTGAAATTACCTATGCTCTTACTCAAGAGCTACTTAAATTAGATATCACAGATTGGTGGAAAATGTTCAGGATGTGATTGTGCTGTTCAGAAGTACTTCTGTTATTGCTCAAATTCTAATTATGGTATACCATGCATATAATAACTGTATTATAAGAAAGGTTTTTGATATATGACTTGGTTACTGAAAGTGAGTGCATCTTCTCTTTGAAGAGTACGTCTGCATGAGTGTATTTGTTATTGATCCCCCTTCAGACAATCTACTCTGAAAAGTTAAGAGACCCTCCGGTATTGGTGGTGCAACCAAAAATACACAATACTACCTTCCCCTTTTCTGAATAGCAGCTTCTGTTCTATCAGAAAACCTGCAAACTGGTTACAGAAAGAAACCAGAAGTATGTATAAGTACATTGTTCCAAACCTCTAGCACGCCTTTCACTACCTGGTAAAACTCTGATGTGGTTTTTAATACCATTTATAAATGATAAAAGGCTGTGATGACTGAAGGTCAGAATGAGAAAGCCTTCTCTGTCTAAATTGTATTCCTGTAAAACAGCGGTTCTCAACCTATGGGTCGCAACCCCATTTGGGGTCGATCGACCATTTTACGGGGGTCGCGAAACAACGCGATCCGCCATTTTTCCCCCCAGGGGCCGGCGCCACACATGCGTGCCACGCATGGGGCGCCGCCGTGCATGCATGCCGCACATGGGGGCGGCGCCATGCATGCGTGCCGCGCATGCGCGGCGCGTTCGTGTGATGGGGTCGCCGTCACACGAAGATTGAGAATCGCTGCTGTAAAACCTCTGTATATTCTTCCATAAAAGAAAATTATTTCCTTTCATTTAGGCTTTACTGTTGCAATATAGATAAATTCTGTTCTCCATATTCTTGCTGACAGGTATATTGTCTAATATTAGTGTCTGTAGTTAATATAGAAAGAGAACTCACTCACTTACACACAGACACCGATCTGTGCAACAGAAAAAAAAATCCTCATGCAAATATACTTCGGATTATATCAGATTAGGGGATCTTAGTCACATAGCTTTACAAACCACCAGATATGACTTTTGATTTCATGGAGCCGATAATATGGAAAAGATCCAAATTCTAATCGATGATCTTAACAGTAATAACGATAAGTGGAAATATTACTTCATAAATTAGAGTGATAAATTGATGAAAATCTAGGTTGAATCAGATACTTGATTTTAAATTGACAGGTTCCTTTAACATGACTAATAGAAATGAAGTTAGTCTGCATTTAATATTTGTCAGCAGTAATATTGTATCATATCACACTTTCATCTTAAACCCAATTCCATATTCTCAACATCCCCCTGCTGCTTTTTTTTACAGAATAATTTGAGGGAAGCCAATTGAAACATTTTACTGATCGTTCTCAAGTTACAAATGTATTGGAGCCTGCCCATTCCATTCGTAACTCGAGGATTCGTAGGAGTGAATCTCATACCTTGAACACAATTCACTCCCAGCTTTCGTCCACGCATTCGCTAATTTAATGCATGGGCGAATGCGCGGCTCGTTAAGTGAACAGGAGGTATCTCAGGGTTGGGAAGGCCATGAAGGACCTAGTGATGGAACAGGCCACCGACTTCAGACCACCCAAGCCCCCCCCCGAGATACTTCATGCTCCCTCCCCTGGGATCCGCACAATTGCTCTCCCACCCAATCCTGACGCGCCAGGTCACTTACCTTGTGAAGCCTTTCTGTTTCTTTCTCTGCTTCCGGCAAGAGTAGAGGGACACTTCCGGAAGCCTCCCCCAGCCTCCTTTCTTGGCAGCAGTGGCCTGGAAAAAGCCTCTGACGTGCTGATCAGGCCTCTGGATGCCTGCTAAAGCCCCCCCCCAGCCTCCTTTCTGGGCGGCAGCAGCCTGGAAAAGGCTGATGCCCAGATCGAGCCTCTGGAGGCATGCGGAAGCCTCCCCCGGCTTCTGTTCCGTTCTGTTGCAGAGAACAGAGGCCTAAACTACCGTGAGATCACGCGAGATCAGTAGCGTGAGGTCTCATGCCACTGATCTTGCATGATCTTACATTACTTTAGGCCTCCATTCTCTGCGAACTCATCAAAGGCCTGGAGTGAAGAATCTCTTGATCTTTGCAAGGTATCGATAGGCCTAGTGCCTAGGGAGACGCAAGGCGGGGGGGGGGAAGAGGGAGGGAATAGCCAGGGTGAATGTTGCAGTGCCACTGCAGTCATTCGTAAGGGTGAAAAACTGCCATGGTGTGGCAACATTCGTAACTTCGGGACTTTTTCGTAAAAGTTAGGGGGTGCTTATTGCGTAACTTCAAATGTTTGTTAAGGGAATGCTCATAACTCAGGGATTACCTGTACTTCAGTGACTTTTTAGTAGTACCTGTGACCCTACACACGCGTACACTGCTATAGAAAATATATAATCTCTCTCTCTCACGCACACACCTGAAAATATATCTAAAAATATGTAATCTGACCTAGAACTAAGGAGAAATTTTCTGACAGTTAGAACAATTAGTCAATGGAACAACCTGCCTCCAGAAGCGGTGAATGCTCCAACACTGGAAGTTTTTAAGAAGAGACTGGTTTCCTGCCTGAGCAGGGGGTTGGACTAGATGACCTCCAAGGTCCCTTCCAATTTTATTGTTGTTGTTGTTGTTGTTATTTCAAATGATGTTAAGCCCTGTTAAATTCTTAAAATGGCTACAAAAATAGTTTTCCTGCTGAAAAAATAGCACTTATTTGTCAAATTTAAAGTTTTCATAGTCAATATGAAATAAACTTTTCTGACTTGAAAGTCTATAACCCTATGTACAAATATTAAATCATTTGGATATTGGGGCTATTATTAATATTTTGATGAAAAATTGGCTACTGTTTAATAATTACTAAATGATGTTGGGTTTGTACATTATTCTTCTCCTTCACCACTCCAAAACTGTATTAAGCTGACATAGCTCTGTGATTTTAGGAATATTTACATTCATTCTCCAAAGGGCAACCAACCTTTTTCTTGTGGTGTCTTTCTAGAAAATGCACAAAATGCATCTTCCAGCATGGGTAACTCCTGTGGTGATGGCTAAACTGAAGGAGTTAAAAGATTTCAGTTTTAATGTCCTTTTTGGCATCCATAGACAAGTGGAGAAAGCTCGTCTGCAGGGTGGTAAGTAAAGAATAAATATTTATTCAAGTAATGCCTGGGGAGTGTCTAAAAGAGATTATGATCTAGGGTTGTTGTTTTTTCTTACTATAGGAGTTCTTTTGTCTCAAATAAGGAAGAATCTTACCTTAGCTACAAAAGACTCAGCACCCCACCACCTTAAAATGCTTATGTACTCAGCGGTAAGTTTGGTGTGTTGAGTTGGCTACCTAGTTTTCTGATCTTATCCTCTCCCATCATTGCAAAAAACCAGATCCACAGACTGTCAACATCTCCCCTTCTGTAATACACTATGAAATACTCTTCGTTGTAAGGACAAATGCTAACTATTAATTACGTTCTAGAATCCCTTTTGTTTTCATCCCACTGTAGTTCAGGAAATTCTTCATTTAAAATATGTATTTTAGATTATCTTCTGTGCACACTAAGGGGAAGATTCATGTACTTCTTCTTTCCTCAGCACGACACCACTCTTGCGGCACTGCAGACAGCTCTGAATGTTTACAACGGGAAACAACCGCCATATGCTTCATGTCATATATTTGAACTGTACCAAGAAGACGACGGGTGAGGGCTTTGCTCAGGATATCAAAGGGATATAAGTACTCAAAGTCAGCTGCGTGCTGGACTTTAACGTTCAAAATATACTCAGAAAAGACAAATGAGCTTGAAAAAGAATGACAATCTTCAGAGCAATCCATAGAGTAGTTACCTTTTCCAATCTGTTGAAAACAATTATCATTTTCCACCGGTGCTAATGAGCTTTGATGTGGATATGAAATAATAGCCATAAACATATGCAAGTGCTTTGATACAGCTGTGGACACAATATTTAATAATGAACTATTTCCACTTGACATGATAGCCTGTGATCTGATACAAAAATATACCAGAGAAATAGCTAAGTTACATAAAGACAGTGCTCTTGTTTCCAAACGGGTAATGGTCTAACCCAGTGGTTCTCAACCTGTGGGTCGGGACCCCATTTGGGGTCGAACGACCATTTCACGGGGGTCGCCAAACAAGGCTGTCCGCCATTTTTTCCTTTCTTTGGCCACGCCCCTGGCACCCGGTGATGTATAAGTGGTTGGGAGTCACCACAACATGGGGAACTGTATTATGGGGTCGCGGCATTAGAAAGGTTGAGAACCACTGGTCTAACCTTTTTAGATTTCTAGTATTGCAAAAGAGATTAAAAGGCTGGATAGAAGTTGCATGCTTCAGTGCTTGGTTCCCATAGAAAATGTGATATAAAACAGCGGATGGACTATTAATACCTGTTTCTGTCATATGTCTTGCTTCCAGTAAGTTTACAGTGGAGATGTTCTTTCGGAATGAGAGTCAGAAGGAGCCTTATGAATTGCAGCTTCCCGACTGTAACCAGCGCTGCCCCCTGCCTCAGTTCCTGCAACTTACAGAGCCAGTTATTTCACAGGACTGGAAACAGGAATGTCAGATAATAAGCACAATGAAAGACACAGGTGAGTGAGGCTGGGAGAATCTGAAGGAAGATTCATGTAAGATTAAACCATTATAATCAGGATGGGTTTTTTTTTGTTTCATTCTTTTGCAGAATTTATTGTGATTTTGGCTGTCTGTGGATCTCTCCTGTTCTTAATGACCATTCTGCTCCTGACAGTACTCTTCTGTGTGAAGCCCAAGCCTCCTGGCTACAGCCATCTTTCCAATGAAGGGGAGGAACAGCCTTGACAATTGCTTCAGCCCCTCCTGAGGCAGCAAGAGGAAACAGCTGATCTCAGGGACAAATGGGGCCTCATTCAATGACTAAACATCTTCCTGACTGATTTTGATCACGGCTTTTGAAGCAGAAGGGTTGACAATGGAGATGTTGCAACTAGCAGATGCATTCTATCTACCACAGCATAATGCTAAGTTAATTGCTAGGAGTAAAATGCCAACATGGTCTTAGATTGCTATTTCTCAGCGTGTGATCAGTTTAACACTTCAGAAGGTTGTTTTTCTTTCTCTAAACTCAATATCCTGTCTTAATTGTTTAAAAATGGCACAAAAAGTGGCTCTCTGCTCCTTAAAAAAAAACCTTCAGTCTAGTAGCTGCCACTTGTAACTCTCTTTTACACTGTGACAGTGGCATGATGCTTAAACCATCAATAACCAATTGCTTCCATCGAGTCAGAAATTCAGAACAAAATGGTGGTTTCTATTGTACAAAACAGCCATAGGAAGAAATCTTAAATTCACTCAACAGAAATTGCCATAATTGGATCCACCAGTTTCGTGGAGGTTTTTCCACGGACCAAAGAATGCGTGGTTTTGTGTGCTGCCTGCATCCCACAGATGGGGCTTTGCTTGTTTGTGCGGCCCAGTTGTTGGCATGCCACGGCCCAGTACCGGTCCACAGACCAGGGGTTGGGGACCCCTGCTCTAAGTACTTTACTCTTAGTCTTTAGATACTCAAGAGATAGAACAAGTGGCATTAGATTCCTCCCTGCCCTCTAACTGGAAAGGGATTGATCAAATATATGCATTCAAGCTATTATTTACATACCTGTGATACATCATGCACAATACTCTGGACAAGAAGAATGTTAAAAGAACACGTGCTTTAAGAACACACTTTAAAGGTCTTAATTCAAATCTCTGTGGTAGAAATATTGATGTCTCTGGTTTTACATTCCTAAACTTCATTTTGAAACATGCTGCTGAAGTTGAAGATGAGATAACTTTTAACTGAGCAGGTTCTATTGTTATGTAAGATACAGGGTCCTATACATTTGGGAGATCAGCATCTCCCAAATCTTCCCTTGAGTGCATTCCAATCCACTGATGCTGGTGCCAGGCATTTTTACTTGGCTCTTGCTTAAACCCTTTTAACTTTGGGCCCAGTTTTTTCCTTTGGCCTTCACTGATTGTGCTTCACCTCAGATTGTATATTCCTACTTGACACAATGCAGGGCAGCACAGATGTCTTTCTTATTCCTCTCCATGAAGAGAAAAATGTACTACCTCATCAAAAATATTATATATGGCATATAAAAATCACAAGGCTATCATTTCAAAGATTCGTTTATAAGATATAGCCAATTTCTTAACTGTAAACAAAATGTTAGTTCACATTTCAGAGAACAGTGTTTTCCTTTAGATCTGAATTCTATATGACCCGAAGTGCAATGTGTTTCCTTCATCCTTGAACAGTGGCGTCTGAAGATAAGAATCCATAGTATAATTGCCACATAGGCCAGAAACCAAGCACTTTTTAAATTACCCCTCTCTCAAATACAAAACGAAAACCCCACACTCTAAAATTATTGCTCCAAGCTTTCTAACAAGTTCCATAAAAATTCTCTTTTTTATATTTCCCTGCAGGGCAAATTTCTACCATATGGATGCTTTTTTTATATCTTCAACTGGAATGCAGCCCGTCAATTTGTTTGCAATATCAGGACTAAATGCTGAGTACAGTTCCCCCACCCTTAAAAAAAATCCCATTCTCTTTTTCCTTAAAATAGACTTCTTAAAAAGAGCAATACTGGTTACTTACTGTAATCAAATACATCTAAGTATACAAAAATGCCAGGAGATATAAAGTAAAAAATGTAATTGTGTGTTTTGTATTTCCTGGGCTGAAACAGTAGCAATCCTACTCTGAGGAGATACTAAAAGTCCAGCTTGGTCATTACAAAACATTTCACATTACATTTCCTCTAAAGCCACTGCATTAGTATCCTGTTACTAAAGAGTACACAAGACAATTGCCAAAAATTTACCCAATTCCATTTGAAGTTGTCTTATTTTTCTATTGAAACTGTATGATTATGCCTCCTGCAGGGCAGGATGGAAGATAGAGCCAAGAGAAACTCAGATAAATCACTTCCAGAAATGAATCAAGTCAATTTATATGCCAATTTCTTGCAAGCTAAGTTGTAAATAAAATGGGAAATAATTTGCTTTGGTACAAAATGAGGAAAACAATTTATTTCTTGAGATTAAATGTTGCTGTAATTCACTCGATCACTTTCTTAATGTTTTCATTAAAAAATAAGATTGGACTGAATTTTTCCTCCTTTTTTTGTGTCCTCTTTTTGCACATTTCTAGCAGCTGGACTAGAAGAAAAGATATAACCATGGCAACTTTTTTGTATTAAAGTCAATTATAGTTAGGGAATCTGACATGGGACCAACTTCCCAGTAAATAATCCAATCTTGATTTCTTTATGTATTAAAGTGGGAGTGCTCTTACTCTATTTCCCTAGAGACAGAACACTAGGTTATACTACAAGCATGGAGACTCCTGTTAGACATCAAGAACTTCCTGATTGTACATGTCATTAACAGTGGAACAGATTGCCACATGATATTAGTTCTCTGAGGCTAGATGGTAAACTGTTAAGAGATGCTCTAGTACAGGGCTTTTCAACCGGTGGTACGCATACCACCTGTGGTACATTGGCACCTGGCAGGTGGTATGTGACCATCCTAGAAAAGTAGTGGGGGAGGGGAATGAGCTGGACCGGCACAGCATCACACAAGCCTGAGTGAGAGATGGCTGGAGCTGCAGGGCTGTCAGGGCTCAGCGGAAGCGCCAGAATCAGTGCCGCTTTCCAGCTGATCAGCTCTTCTTCGGGGCTGTCAGGGCTCAGTGGAAGTGCCAGGATCAGCGCCAGGCTCCAGCTGTAGCTCGGGGTTGATCCTGGCGCTTCTGCTGAACCCAGAAGCGCCAATCAGCTGGAAAGCAGCACTGATCCCGGCGTGTCTGCTGAGCCCAGAAGCGCCGATCACCTGGAAAGCAGCACTGATACTGGCACGCATGCTCGCACACACACAAATACATGTGCAGGTCTGGGAGAGGTGAGCTGAGCCAAGCCATGCAGAGGCAATGATGGGGGAGGGCAAGCCTTTGCCCATCACTGCCTGCCTGTTGCCACCTCTTCCCGGAGCCTCTGGCAGTTTAAAAAAAAAGCAAGGGAGGGAGGGAGGAAATAGTCAGGGAAGGAGGGAGGGAACTTGGATATAAAAGGGGTGGGAGAGAAATTTGTTAAATGAGCTTTGCCCCATTTTATGACTTCTTGCCACAGTTGTTAAGCGAATCACTGCAGTTGTTAAATTAGTAACACGGTTGTTAAGTGAATCTGGTTTCCCCACTAACTTTGCTTGTCAGAAAATTGCAAAAGCTGATCACATGACCCCGGAACAATGTGACCATCATAAATGTGAGTCAATTGTCAAGCATCAAAATGTAAATCACATGACCCTGGGGATGCTGCAACGGTCATAAATGTGAAAAATGGTCATAAGTCACTTTTTGCAGTGCCGTTTTAACTTTGAACAGTCACTAAGCAAACTGTTGTAAGTCAAGAACTACCTGTACTTTAATCACTTTTTTCCGGGTTTTTTTGGTCATCAAGTTTTTGACACTTTGCTAGGTGACTGGTGGTACTCGAATGTTGCCATATTCTATAAGTGACACAATTGGTGAAAAGATTGAAAAGCCCTGTATTAGATGACCTTTATTGTTACTTCCAACTCAATGATTAAATTATACCGCATAAAAATTAACGTCTTTCTAACAGGCCTTCAAAGCTAATAAAGAGCTCTATTTCCCTCTATGTATACAATATTACATTTATATATTGTATAGAATTCATATCTTGAAATCCTTCTTTTAAAAAAAAAGCAGTATCAAGCTTATAAAAGAAAATGAAGGGACAAGTTAAGATGAATGGAGCACAACTCCCCAAAATAAGACTCTGATCATTTATTCAATTTTTATTAAGCTTCTCAGACCTATTCTTTGAGCAGGCTTATGTCCTAGCATGTTAGCTTCTCTATATAACAAAATAATTTCTGATACAAAACCTTATTAAACATATTATTTTTGAACAAAAGAACAGTTAAGTGAATCAAAAGAATAATCGTTGCAAAGGTACCTATAGCTAGTTGCCTTCTTTGTACCTCTATATATCTTTTAGTTTTACAAATCTCACAAAATTACAAATACGTGTGTCTGAGAACACACAAATTATGTTGCTCCTTAAAACATAAATGCTCTTATTTTTAGTGAGCATAGGACAAGCATAAGATTGTTTTCAATATATTATAAAAAGAAAAGAGCCAGTTCCCAAAATATACTGCAATCTGGATTGTTAGCATACCTTTGTGCACTGTGCTTTGTCTTAAACAATTAAAAGCCTTCAGGTACACACAACAGAATGTGGGGTTTTTTAGCTCATTTAAGGACATGTGTGTATAAATATATATATATATGCCTTAAGCCTTGGATAATAATGGATGACTCAGTTCTGCAACACAATTTCCATCATCAAAGAAGATGGTCTACTGTAAAGGGCTTCCTTCTTCTGAAGTCAACGTTGCAAGTTATGTCAGCAGCACTAACTTGGTTCCAAGCAAACACTAGTGACACAAGCCTGACTCATGAGTCCTCCGGGTTCTTTCTTCTCTTAGTGTACACTGTGTATTCTTTACCCTTTGTTTTAGTGTCCTCAAATTCAACACTGAGCAGTTTAGTTCTGAATTTGTTTGTTTCCGTGTTTGATTGTCTTTGCCTCTGTCCTCTTTGGTGGAGTACATTCTTAAGCCCAATGTTCTGCTCTTTCATAGCTTGCATGAGATCCTCCTGTTTCTTACTTATCATCACTTCTCGGTCCCATATCAGAATATTAAAGCCTGTCAAAAAAACAGAATCACACTCTTAGGAATTCAACCACGTAACTTTTATGCCAGGAGCTCAGACATGGCTCAGTTTTTAAAACTGGTGTTTGGTGCCAAGTCTGCAAAGAGATTTTAGAGGAATATGATTCCAACAATTAGATAACTGAAGATCATGTATAATTTATCTTGCCCAACATAGCAAAGAATAGTACTTTTAAGTAACGAAGATTAAAGTTCAGTCTCATTTTTTTCTATTTGGTTCACTTTTATTGTCTTATTTTAAAAACAAATTCCTTGTGAGTACTGGCCTTATATTTTCTAGGATCAATTATGGGGAAAGATTCCCAATTGTGTAAAAATCTTTTGACCTAAAGTAATTAAACTGGATTTTTTTTTCTTGTTTCAAGAAAATGCTTCAATTTCAAAATTTATTTTCTCCTTCCTTCTTAAAACATTATTATCTGAAAGGTCAACAGATGGCAGCAGTTCTCTGTTTCCTAGATAAGTAACTCCTAGAAACTAGGTGGATGTATCCAAATTTTTTGGCAATAATATAAAAGTGGTTTAACATGGACATATTATGGGTTTTTTTTAAAAAAAACTTTCCAGCTGAGCTATGTAATTTTCTGATGGATACTTCTTAGTTTTTGAAGATGAGCTGTGGCTGGGTACAACCATTAGACCAAGAAAAAAACCCACCCCCCAACAAATAATCAAAACCCTCTTGATTCACGACAATCCATGGAACACGGTGCCTTTGAATGTATGCCCCATTTTTTTTTTACTTATTAAATTTTTAATGATATAAGAAAAGCAAGATCTCCAGCCAAAAGGAGCACTGAACATTATTTTATGTTATTTGCTACCATCTTCAGGTAGCTGAAACAACTATGGGAGGTTTTTTTAAAAAAAACCTGTTTAAAAAAACCTGTTTAAGAGTTCAACAACTCTTTTTCATGCTATATGTCAATGTAGAATTAAAGCTACTTAATCAGGGATGCTTAAAACATTATCCTGGATAAACCGATATATGGCTGGAACAGAGCTGGTATTAGCTGGTCGATGCTCAAACAAAAATAAGTGTGTTTCAGGTGAAATAGAGCTGGATTGTTCAAAATATAAACCAAATTGCAACTTTTCTGGGCAAAAGAGATTTGGGGGAGGAGGAGAAGAAGTAAAGGCCAACAATATATACAGACTAAGATCAGGAGTTCGCAGGGCAGCCCATAGGTGATGTCAGAGAAAAAAAAGGGAGCAACATCAAACCTTTCCTTACTTACCTCATAAAATCCCTTCAGGATCCTTCCAGTTTTTATTTAAACTGAAACTAAGAACATCCAAAATATTCTAGTTTTTGTTTCTGTCAATCTGTAGTCAAACCAAGGAGGCCAATGGAACCTCCAGAATGTACTATTTTATTGCAGGTTCAACACATTTCCTATTTTGAGCACACCCTTTTACAATATTAAAGCATTACTCCTTTATTATTTTCAGCTATTGCTTGCTAAGCGGTAAAAATATTTAAACGTAATTAAACATACGGTAAAGTTACAAATAGAGAGTTTTAAGCCTATACTGCAAATGTTTCAATTCAAATGGTCTGGGAAGAATGCAAGCCACTACACTAAATATGAAAGATTAAACTGCTTGCTTACCCATTCCTGAAGCCAAGGTGTCGCCCATGGGGTTAAACTTATTGAGCTGCAAATATACACACAATAATGCATTGTAAGCTTGTCAGCTGTCTACTTATCAAGCAAAACAGAAACCAGAACATTCTGAACAGTACAGAAAAGCCCAACAATGGTTGTGGAAAAATTCTGAACAAGTCAGCAGAGCACTGAATAGGAAGACCTCTTTCCTGCCCTATTCCCCGGCTATTCTATCTGTTTCAGCACCCTGGCTCGTGCCAGAGATAAAGGAAGTCCTTGCCCTCAAAGTTCATTCGAGAAACTCACTGGGAATCCCAGTTCATTTCATTTTGAAATCTAATTTGAAAGCATAAATCTCTGGAAACAGAAACTAAAACATTTCTTCTACCTCAAAAGCCAATGAAGCTTTCAACTAGAAACCATTCTCAGAACACAATTACATGGACAGCACTAAAGTTATCCATAATCTTCTGATAAGTTTCCACTGGGTCTTTTAAGGTAAGAATAAGGGATCTGGGAACTCTAGACACTGCTTACGCCACATATCACCAGCCATGCTAGCTTGGGTTGCTGAAAGCTATAATTCAGTAATGCCTAGAAGGCTATAGATTTCCACCTATCCATCTTAAAAAAATAGTCTAAGAAGCAAGCAAGAAGCCAACCTTAGATACATTATTCTATCTACTACTAGTGCAGTGTTTCTCAACCTTGACAATTTTAAGGCATGTGGACT